ACACTGAAACTTTCGTCACTGGTAGCTCTGGCTAACTCTCCCTCCTGCAATGGGCAATCCTGGCTCACTTTCCGACTCTTTATTAGTTAAGCAGCTGTAAAATAAAAAATAAAAATGGCAATGGGCTTCTTTAAAGCTCTCTGATAAAGACTGTCAGTAAGATTAACAACCTTCGTGCGAGACTCCCAAAATCCATCAAAAATTCAAAATAATACTCACAGTAAGAACAATAACATCCTACTGCTTCTGTTCCTAATCTGGAAGAAAAATGATAAGGTTTCTGTAAAATAGATGAGAAAAAGGTTCACGCTGGGAGCTGACCTTGAACCATGCATGAATGACATCATTCACACCACACGTCTCATCAGGAAAGTTCCTCCTTGTTTTCTGTTTCAACAAAAGCCTTTTGAAAATAAAACAGAAATATTTATGCACACCTAAAAACCTACCACGTGTCACCACTTCACCCATAAAATCACTGGCTGGACATCACTGTGGGCAGCAATGCCAGAGCAGGACACTGATCATCAGACAGTTATCAGATGGCTTACAAATGCACACCAATTCCTCAGGCCATCTGGAGATCTCTATTAGCTAAACAACAAAAATGTACATATAGTGGGCAAATATTGGAAAACAATCCGTCCTTGTAATGTTAGTTCATGCTATCGTTATAATTAATATTGTTTTTGTTGTTGTGCCAATTTTTTCCGTTACACTTAACATTATAACACAGTATGCTGGTAACAGCCTGTTCGACTCTGCAGTCCACCAAGCAAAGCGTAAGCTCCAACAGCCTCGCTCTTCCACCTGCAGCGGCACAGCCAGGCTGCCACCAGAGGCTGTTAACGTCAGGCCCCCACCCCACTCTCTCGTCTGGCAGCACAGTCTGGTGGAGATTTAGAGGAGTTTTCAGGCAGCGACGCTACGGTCTGAGCCCTCCTCACTGCCCATTAGACAAACTACTCTGAGCTCATTAGCAGGGTGGGGACCCTGAAATCAAGACTCGCAGGTCAGCAGAGGACTGGCTCCAATTACCACTGGTGCACGCAGGCTCTGCTCTGGTCAAGCGGACAGAGGGGAGAGAGAGGCTGGGGGGTAAACAACAGAAGAAGCTTTTATACAAATTGCATGAAAACATTTTTCTAAAAACCTAGGTGTCAAGGAGCTTAGTCCAGCACTCTCCACTCATGTCCTGTTGGGTTTCTAGGGCACTAAAACTAAATATCCTCAGAGAAGCTGAAGACCTGGACAGAGAGAAACAAAGGCAGCACTCAGCGTTGAAGCCTGTAGAGGACCAAAACGAAAGTAGCTGACGAGAGGTGTTCTGTAGTGACGGCCTGCGCAGTGTCAGCGATAGTGGTCTCAGGCGAGTACAGAGCTAACAGCCTCCTGTTTCTGGCCCAGCGGGACAGGCGTGGATCTGCAAGCCCACAGGCCTGAATCAGGGCCGAGGGATCTTCCTGCTGCGGACACAAGAGGAGATCAACGCCTTCCGGGCCAAACTGCAGAGCATTGAAGACAGCCAGCAGCACAGGGCCACGCCCTTCCGTTGTCCACAGGCCAGGATCGTACAACGGTAAGCACTGGGAGCACACGGGCAGACACGCTAACCTGTTGACGTGACATGATTTAGCTAATTTCCCCTCTATTCATGGAGGAAAATCAGGTCCTGTACTTTGAAAAAGCTATGTACCCCACAAAACACTGAACTCCACCCCACTCCTCATCTACGACCACCTTTCAGGCCCAGTCCTGCTGCAGAGATCCCATATTAACACCGACGCTGATGCTCAAGCAGGGGGCTGATATGTAGCAGGAATGTGAAAACACGGGACCAATTCCACTCTGCCTATGGGTGTCTAGTTTTGCCCAGCAGGCCTGATGCTCTAAGTATATTACAAAGCAAAGCAGACTCCTTCAGGCTCCTGATGTGGCTATATTGGAGTCCCCTAAGAAAAGCATCATAGGATCAGTAGATTTACACTTCAAGCAAAATAACTGATGATGTGACGAAAGACACAAATAGAACATAGACGTTTCCCAAGAAAGGTGGTAATAGAAAGAAATTCATGGCCTCTGGTAGTTTCTTTTTGATTCCAATCTGATTAATGAGATCAGCGCTCTACCAGACAGATAGCTTTGAAGACACTCTCAATCATTTCTCAGATCTATCAGCTGCCCAGCTTGGATTCATTCTGCCAGAGGTACAGTAGTCAGAGGTAAAGGCTCAGTTGAATTCAACATGGAAATATTCATAAAAAACATCAGTATACCAGCAAATTCTGCTACCTTCCTCTTTCCTGACATTCTAACAATAAGTAAACATGAATGCGCTGTTCTTATCTTTGAAATCATCTCCCTCTCTTTCAGAAATGAATTTACATGATTCTTTCATTCCACACTCACGTCCTGCTCCTGTGCTGTTTCACCGTGCGTGTACAGCTCGTGAGAGGCTCTGTTGTCCTCAGAGCTTCAGTTCTTTTTGTCAAGAAAAACAAAATTAGGAAAGTCCTGAAACTCCTTACCAAAAGTAGTTGAGCATCTGTTAAGTTATTTGAGGTTTTATAACTATATGGTATGTAGTACATACAAGAACACTGAAACTTAATGTAGTTTATACATGAACCTGCCCTACTTGTACATCACAGTACATTAACACTGCATGCCCAAAACTCAAAAGGAATTCCCACAGAGCTTACAGTGGGTATTTTTGGGTATCGTTTTTTTTGTAATCACAGCGTGGAAAAAAAAAACTCTCAGCAATTTCAAGTCTGTCAAAGTACAAGTGTGCCCGAATGTGCAAGTGAGCCCACAGCCAGGAGCAGAGTGAGGCGGTCTCAGGCTCCTGACACAGTGGGCTCACACCCAGCTGGGCAGGAACGGACAGGCCATCGCATCAAGAGCTACAGTGTAAACTCAGGGCAAGCAGAGAAGTGTATTACAAGGGTGGGTCTATGGCAACACAGTCAAAAATGGAGAGAGGGAGAGAAAGAGGTAGGAGAGGGAGATGCCCAGGTGTTGTGCACCTGTCGTTGCTCAGTTCCCAGCTCTGGCGGGGCCCAGTCCTCCCCTGCCACACTGCTGCTGTCTAACACAGCCCAGAGCAGTGATGTGCCTGGATTCCCCTGCAGGCTAGTGAGCGGGGCCTCAGGTTTAGGAGCACCACAGGAAATAAAACAAGAAAAGGGTATTTTTGATGTTCGAACTCACTGATTTCTGCACACCTCTGCCTGGTGATGCTGTTTTTATGTAAAGAGCAGGCAGGAACCTGCTGTGATAACTGGAGCAGCTTGCTGAGTGCTGGAAAGGTTGTATGAACAGTGGGTGACCCTTCCCAGAAGCCTTGCGCCTGTCCTCTCCCTTCCAGCAAGCTTACGGTGGCATGGCATGGCCGGTGCACAGCAAAGTGCAGATAAGCAGGACGAAATCATGGTACAGCCAACATACAGTGGGATCATCACGTCGCAGTAAAACGGAAAGATTGCCACACCAGTACACAGCTATGAGCTGTCATAACGGCCGTGGTTATCAGGACAGGCTCACCTGCCTCTCCCTAACATGGCTTCAAACCACAGCAGTGATAAAGATTTATGACATATGGCAGTACACTAGGTCTGCCAGCTACAAGACTCTCAGCTCAATTAGCAGAATGATAAAGCTAGAATCACCCTGAAACCTGCAGCCAGACACTGAGCTTTATTTGCGGCTGTTTAATGTTCCGTTCAGAATAAACACGAGGCGTCGTTTATATTGTAATTACCTGTGAGTTGACCGTATTGCCCAGGACAAGACTGAAGTGACAAGGGTATATACAGTATGACCTTTAGATTGCAGAGATGTTCTGTGGTAAAAAGCAATTACACTCCCTTTATTTTTACACAGTCCTTGATTCTGAAAAGCCTTAAAATGCTTGTATTGGCTTAGCCCACAATTTTAAAATTATGAATCCATGTTTTGTACAAAATACTGTACTTCAATGGATCCCCTCAGACATCTACTGTACCACGGCACCTTTTGCAGGCTTGTTAGGTTTCCACATAGTTTGCTTT